TGAGCACCATTTTACTGAAGGGCTGGACACCTGCTAGGACTTCATAACAAAAAGTTCACTTCATTTAAGAAAAGTGACAGTCTGTTTTTTGTCCCATTCCCTTCCAAAGAGTGGAATAATACTAACGCTGTCTTTTCACTAAGCAATGCCATTCCAAAATATACAACATTGAGTGTGGAACAGCCCAGCTTCATATTAACATTAAATATTATTAGAACTTCAGAAACATTCTACACAAACAAATGAAACAGTAAAAAGTTCACTCAAGAACAAGATGGTCATTTGTAAAATCATGATACAAAGTTTGTAACTCGCCCTCCTGCGGGTTGCAGTTGCTGCTCCCCAGTGTTGCTTGGGATGCCCCACACCCAGGAGTGCCACAGCAGAGCCCCTCGTGCTGCTCTCAGCTGGAGCAGGTCGGTGCAGCTGTGTGGAGTCGGCTCTCATGGAGATGCTGGTTGGCAGAGAGTGGCCGGGCAGTGCCCACCCAGAGCCCCCGTGTCACTCAGAGCAGCTGCCATGCCTGTGCTCAGGAAATGCTCCTCCTCAGCTCAGGAGAGCTGCACCAGGACCCAGGAGGAGAGAGGGCATCACACGGTGCCTTCCCCACCATGAACAAACACTGACACTCCTCTTGTCCCAGTCCTGGCCTGGGCAGGGCGGTGCAGCAGGGGCAGGAGGGGAGGTATTTCTGGGGGTAGCTTTGCAGCACCTTCTCTTTTCAAGCAGCACCATGTGCCTGTGTCTGTGGGAATCACCAGACACTCACAGGGGCTGCCTGTAGCCACAGGAACACAGGAATGGAAAAGGCTAATTAAGAAAATAACGAGAGAGTCCCAGACGATAATAAGGCCTTTAAGGGACTCTCTGGGGAAGGTGTTTTGGAGTCCACAGGAGCAGTGCCAGATTGTGAGATTGATGAAGGATGGGAATGAAGGGTTGGGGGGTGCCTGCCCCAAAAGGACTCCCACTCCCCTGCAGCACCAGTGCCCATGTGCTGCTGCCAGGCAGGGTAGGGGGAGCTCTGTGGCCAGGCAGGGATGGAGGGAAGACAGTGATGTGAAAACCACAGCCTTGGCTCCTCTTTTGCACATCTCCTGCAGCAGACACAGAAGCAGCAGGCTGCTGGCTGTCCAGGTGCTGCTGGCATCTTTAGCTTTCCCTACTCCCAGCTTCTTGCTTTTTCACCAGCCTTCCTTAGTGCTCCTAGGCAAAGGGAGGGGTCTGGCCTAAGCACCATGGCTTTGGAGGCAGCTGCTGGCCAACCTGCAAGTTCCAGCAGTGTCCCAACTACAGACAAGCTTCATTCCACACTCAGGGATGACCTGGTGACAAAGGCTAGCCTCTCATGTCTTCTGGGACAAGATTCCTCCAAGACACCTGGCACCTTCCTAACAGCATCCAGCTCCAGGCAGAAGAGGCTGCAAGGAGAGGGAAACCCTAGCATGGTGCTCTCTAGCAGAGTCCAGAATGTGAGGGCTCAGGAGCATCCTGCCCTGCTGGGCTCTCCACAGGTTGTGCCAGCCCAGGTAGCTGGCAAAGCTGAGGGCTGCAGCATTGTCAGGAAGGTGCCAGATATCCCAAAACTGCTGTTCTCTCTGTGGGCCACCTCAACTCCTGCAAGGCCATCCCCATCCGAGCACAGGAGCAAAGAGGCCAGTGCCCTTTTGAAGACTGAAAAAGAAACTGTCACTCCTACAAAAACCAACCAGCCTGGCTGAGCAGCCGGTGCTCCACAGCTCAGCACCAACCCTGCCAACCACAGCCAAAAAAAGGATCCTCCCACCAGAACCTGCCTTCCTGCCCGGGAAGCTGCCCAGCTCGTGTCACACTGCCCAGCTGGAGCTCAGAGACAAAGCTGCTCTCCATACTCAGGGATCCCTTGAGCCATGGCCAAAGGCCCAGCTTCTAGACAGGGCAGGGAACTTGGATCCAAAGGGGAAGAACTGCTGAACCCCCACACGCTGGCAAGTTCTGGCCATGAACACAGCACAAGTCACAATTTAAAGGGCACAAACTCTGTGCTCAATTCCAAAACTCCCAGCCCCTCCTGCCACACCTGGAGCTGGAGAAATGCTCCTGGTGTACCAGGGGGCCTGGAGGCCAGGCCACAAACCATGGGCAGCTGTGGAGCAGAACCCTGGAGCCACATGTGCAGCATCACCCGTCTATGCCGTGCTGCTGCTGATTCCCCTGGCATGTTCCTAGCTGGCAACTGGCTGAACTCCATGCAAGGAAGCACCAGGCACTGGGGGGATCTCAGCCCACTAACCCCAGCCCTGGTAGTATGACCTGGTCTGAGAGCTGCCCAGTGAGGTGAGCACTCCAGGGAGCACACCTCATCCACACACTGAAATACCACTCATGGGCTGCCAAGCAGGACAAAAATAATCCCTTCTTTTTTTTTGCAAAAAAAGTGCTCCAGAAATTCTGTACAAGGATTGCTACAGCAGCTGGCTCATGGGGATGCAAATACTTTAGAAGCAGCAGCAGCCACATGCTACATGGCTTGCAGGGAAGAGGCTGAGGAGAAACTTCTACAACCATAAGCAGTGGCAGATGGTGAAATCTGATCACAGTGGACATGAGCTTCAGAACATTTCTACCAATTAACTTGTGATTTCAACTGGTATCTGATGTCAGCTTCCCCTTCAGCTGCCTGCCGGACAGGCTGCTCTCCCCACGGACCTTGCTGACGGACATCTGAAGCATGCAGGAAGCTCAAGGACCTTGTCTGCTGGAGAGGAAGCATAAACTGCTCCTTGGCAGCTGAACAAAAGGAGAAATTATTTCCAAAAAAATCAGATGGAAGAAGAGCCCTTTGACCGCTAGCTGAATCATTTCTAGAAGTGACAGTGGCACAAATCCATGCGTTAAAAGCATTCCTCAGAGAGTCTCCAAAGCTCTCTGCTGTCACAGTGCCCAGAACAACACAGGCCAGGTTAGGCACTTGGATGAATTCAAAGTGACTAATACAGAAACAGGTCTGGACAAGGTGCATACCACATGCTCAGCAGAGACCACAGCGCTCTGGGCAATGCATTTCTCTGTGCCTGCCAGTTACTGTTGCACGGATCCCTGCAAGTGTTACTCAGCTGCCACAGACTAACACAGGATAGAAGGGACCTGTGGAGGAGACCTCTGGCTAGATCAGATCTTAGGTAGCTCTGGTTTGATCAAACCCTTCATCTACCCTGAAGAGCAAAGAGCAACACGCACACAGAGTCCCTCTGCAGCCTCGTGCACATCAGTGTTACATGCCCAGGGCACCAGGAGCACCCACACCTGGGCATGAGCTGAAGGATGGGGGAGCCAACCTGTGCCAGACTGAGGCACCCCCTCTGCCAGTGCTGGCTGGTACCAGGGCAGCAGTTGCTGCATTGGCACAGAGGCTGTAAAGCCCCTCTATAACAACGTGCAACCCTTTCAGTCAAGTTCCCAAAGCACCTGCAAGAGGAGGAAGAGACAAGAGGAGGGCAGGGAATGGAGATTAAGCGCTGCCCTGCTGCTCAGGGCCCTGTGGTCTGTTAGAGATGCACAGGAGAGCTGACAGAGGGGACTGGTGATGAGCAAGTCCCTGAGCACACAGCTATGGAGTGCTCACTTCCCTGGCAGCAGCCTCAGTGGCACAGAGGTGTTTCCAAAGCTTGTCTCTCCCTGTGGAGCAGAACACCTTTTGCTGGTGCCTGGAAGGACACAGGGCAAACTGTCACCACCAAGCACGCACAGAACTCAGCTCAGTGCTGGGAAAGGCACGGCAGCACAAAGGCTGGATGCTGTGCTGGATGTGTTAAGCAACAATACAAGTCAAGTCCTTGACTGGCAGAGACCCAAGCTGTGAAAGACAAGAGGTGATAGAAAAGAGTGAAGAGGCAGGCAGCAGTACAGCTGAGAGAAGACACACAGTGATGAGGAGGGATGTGCCCTGGTAAGTTGGCCTCAGGTGCTCAGCTTCCCACTCAGGCTGGAGGAAAAGAGGCTCCGACCTGGATTCAGCCTTGTTGATGCACGTTGTTTTTCCCAGCGGAGGCCAAGGGCTCAGCTGGGACGCCTGTGCTGCATAAGGAGACTCCAAAGACAGCTCTCAGTGCCCTTATAAGGGTCTGGGAACGGGGGAAGCTGCTGAGCAGCCTGACAGCAATACCACAGGCAGGAGTTCAGAGCCCTCCTCGGGAAACAGCCCAAAAGAGAAACACCAGTGCAGGACTTCAAGACCTGGCATTTGAGAGCGTGGGAATGAGAAAGGTCTGAAGGAGTGGGAACAAAAGGAACAAAGCAATTTTTGGCCAGTTGACAGTGATGGAGAGCCCCTGTTCATCCAGCACCAGGTCAGGACAGGGAACTCTCTGCCAGGGCATTTTAAAACACAGAAGCAGAAGAAAATATTTCCTCCTCCTTGGCAGCCAAGCAGCGGCATTCACAGGTCACTCTCAAACACTGCAAGTTATGATCTCTGACAGCAACTCAGACCCCAAGTCTGGGGTTCAGGGCTTGCAATCATTCCCTGAATCATAAAATCACAGAAGGGCTTGGGTTGGAAGGGATCTTAAAGACCATCTTGTTCCAACCAACCTGCCATGGGCAGGGACACTTTACACTAGACCAGGTTGCTTAGTGAAAGTGAACCTCCACCCTGCTCTATGTGGGTGAGAGGAGAACCCAGATGCACCTCAGAACACTCAACTTCCCTGCCTTCTCACCCTGTCATGAACCTCCTCCCTTCTCTCCACACCAGTCTTCCTTTCTGTGCTGGGGATCAGACACTGACCCGTTTTATAAACCACTGAAATCCAACCAGGTGCTTGGGGGGTGGGGCTCAAATATAAGGATCTGGGACTTCCCTGGGGAGCTCATCCCCTCAGCCAATGTCCACAGAGATTATTAGGTCAGACAACTGGTATTTTGAGCTGGTGAGAGAATGAGTGGATTACACTACTGCTGCAGACATCTGAGCAGACAGCAATATACAGAGACAAGTCCATACCCAGCCCAATGCCTCTTCCTTTCCCCAGGACAGCAGGTTGTCCCTTCCAGGTGACAGCAGCAGCACTAACTGCTCCAGTGAGGTGTTTCTCCTGGGATTAGCAGATCCCTCCCTGTGGAGTGCAGAGAGCACAGAGCCGTGTTCTGATCCAACAGCGTGCCCCGGTGCAGGGAGGTGACAGCAGCCGTGTGCAGCGGTTCTGCAGTGCCTCCTAGGGATGGCAGAGCCTGCACTCCTCCTTCCACACAGAGCTCTCACACCTGACACACACCTTCTCACAACATCCCCGATGGCACAGCAAGGCTGCCACCCCCCACATGATGCCCATCTCCCCTCCTACTGCTTCATCCCCACAAACCACAGAAAGCAACTCTCTGTGTTTAAGTGCTGGTGTATGTGCTCCCAAATTTTTCACTTTTCTGCTTCAACTCAGGCTCAAGTATCCCACTGAGTCTGGGACTGGCAGGACGTAGCTAAAGCATTCAAACACAGCGTGTGTCTCTGTCGTGGTTTAACTCCAGCCAAAGCCAACAGTTCTCTACCAGCACCTGGGATCTGCTCCTGGAACACCCAGCAGCAGCAGAGCAGTTACATGGGGGGCAGGACACTACACAGTTCATGCTAACAATTCCAGCCCTTTGGCTCTAACAGTCACAGTTTGTGATCCATAGCTGCACCTGGGGTATAGGAGAGCAGAGTAATGCTGGGTGCTGAGGAGGAATCCTCTTCGGAGGCAAATCCCTACCATGTGTTCAAAACTTCTGCTACCCACAAAGGGAGGAGGTGCCCAAAGATGTCAGACAGACTTGCAGCCCTGTGACACTCCCCCACTGTTATGCAGAGGTTATACTGAAAACAGGATTAAAACTACCAGCTGGTAATTCTCCAGATTGTTTGGCATTCTGGAGACAAACAAGTGGCAACACTGCTGCTGCCTCTGAGCTGCTCAAGGGAGCTCAGGACAGACTGTCACAACAATGAACCACAAAGGAATTCTGGCACCTTTGAACAAAAGGCTAGCTGAAGGGAAGGAGGAACAAAAGCTATCAAACCCAATCCCAAAGGGATGGAGGAAGTGCATCTTCCCACAGTTCCTGGGCCATATGCACATATATGGATATATAGATATATAGATAATAAAGTTATAAAATTTGATCAAAATAAAACCAGTAAATGTACAGCTTGAAAAAGAGCAATATCACAGTGCATCAATGTTATGAGAAAGTCCTGTGTTCTCCCCTGCACAAGAGCACAGCCTGCCACGTTCAGGGGAGCGTGGTGAGAAGTGAACTCTCCGGCCTGCTCAGCTCAATGCTGGCCACAGTCACTGTCCCACACTCGCAAACAGGGGTTTGGATTTCTGCAGCCAGTTCTGCACAGCAGTGGCAGACAGGCAGGAACAGCATGTGAGTGGGCTGCTCTGTCTGCAGGTTAGTGGGCATATTGGCACCAGAGACACAGAGTCACTCCTAAGCCTCTCTGTGCTCTGGTGCCAGGCTCGTATTTACTTACTTACAAAAAAAAGTGACAAAGTGAAGAAATTCAGGGGACACTATGAGAATGGGACAAGGGCTGAATTTGGATCACAGGGGACAAGTTGACCCTAAGAATCTTCTGTGCTCTCCTCCTCACTTCATCATCAGAGGAAGAGTTGCCCACCTTGATGGTCCGGAATTTCAGCAGGTTCAAAGTGCTCTGAGCCTTTCGAGTTTTCTTTCGGACAGGAATGGTATTTGCTTTTTTCCTCTGTGGTGCTTCTTTTGCCTCTGTAGCTCTTCTCTTCTTCTGCCTAGTGCCCTCCTGGTAAGTGCTGCTGTCCTTCCACTCTGTTTTTCCCAGCAGAACTTCCTTATCTTTGATTTTCAAGGTCTTGGGCTGTGGTGCTGTGGCGCAGTCCTGGGACGAGCTGCCTGCGAATCTCCCGTTGAGAACTCCGGAGGCTTTGCAGGCGTTGCTCTCCTGCAGCACTCCCCCCTTTGGTCCCTTCAGAAGCTTTAAAGCACGGCTGCCAGAATCGGGTGGCTTCTTAACCAAACGTTTGTACCCCTTGCCTTCAATAATTTTAGTGCTCTTGCCTGAAGAAAACTGCCTTGGTGCACTTGAAGTCTTGAGGAGTTTAAGGTCTGAGGGAGAGATGCCAAGACGCCCCTGTGTGTACTTGGACTCCAAACAGGACGTTGCAGTTTTCAGTGGCACCAGGGCTTCCAGAACCACTGACAGTCTCATAGCTGGATACACGTCAGGATACATGCTTGTAGGGAAGCCCACCGTCGCCGCCTTGGATGTGCCAGATCCTGTCTGCTTCAAGGAGCTCAAGAGGAGATTTCTGGAATCCCCTTTGGAGACCTTCAAAGAGCTCACTGGCATGCTGGTGGGCAAAGGGGCCACTTTTGCCCCTGAGTTCCTGGCTGGACTCTGGGTGGGCTCAGTGGTGCTGGCACAGTTGCGCTGTGTGTTCTCTCCCGTCTGACTCGGCGTGACTGCCGTGCACGAGCTGTACCCGTACACATCCTTACTCCTCAGAATCGTGGGCTGGTAGCCCTCCTCCTTCAGGCCTTGGATGAAGGCCACCAGCTGGGTCTCTGTGTCCGAAAGATCCTTGGACATCGGGTTGAAGACTCGGAGGGCTTCCTCCAGAACTTTCTGTCCTGCAGAGGAAATTCTTGACCAGGAATGGACAGCTTTTTCTTCCTCATGATTCACTGCAATATTCATGGCATTAGGCAAGCAGGTGCTTCAAAAAGGTCCAAATTACTGGAAAAACAACCCTTGACACCTCAAAAGGAGAAAGAAGACAGTTAGCTTACAGCAACTGAAATTATCCAAGTATTTAATATGGGACCTGAAACCATTAAGTCCAGGCATGGCTAGTCGCAAACCCTGGGTCAGATTCTGGGCTCAATCCAACATAGAAGCATCACCAAGAAAAACCTGTCACTCATTTATCTCTGAAATAAAACTAAAACATCTCTCACAAAAATATCCTCCAACCTAAACAAAGATTTCAGGAAATCCCATCCAATTCACCCCAAGATGAAGGACTCCAATGATTAACTCAGCAAAATCTGCAGCTCATTTCCAGTTTGAGTTTGACCCACCCCAGCTTTGGACAAACAGATCTCATTTTCTCTGGGAAAAACTGAACCCTCATTGAACCTTTTCCCTGTGTACACATCTCAACCAGCACCACTGAGCCATCTCAACACTAAGAAATGCCTAAGTACTTCAACTGCATCCCAGCACCACCTTCAATTTCTCAGCTTCTAAACTGATGCTGCCCAAAAATTGATTCTGAGTCCCCTGCCAAAGCTGCAGCTTCCTCCTGGAGACCTGGCAGCAGGGCTGGAGGCTGTTCCAGTTGTGCTTCGTTGATGCTGAATGCTGTGGCAAGGCAGCACTGCTCCTTGCTGTTCTCTTGTTTGAACAGCGGTCCACAACTTGCTGTCACAGCAAACTGGTGCTGATCCAAGGACACTTGCTGCCAAGTGAGGAGGAAGCAGGAAATTCAAGCAGGGCGGTATGAAGGAAACACGCATCACCAGGGCCAAGTGTACAAAGGCCTGAGGGACAACACTGGGATCACACTCAGGGCACTGTGCAGCTGCCTGCCCAGCATAAAAGCATCAATTATTGCTTGCAATAAAAAATAGGCACTAAAGGGCAGTCCAGGCAGGACTTGAAGAGCAGCCCTTCAAGAGAACTCTGATCCTGGTGGCCTCACAGCTCCACAGCTGGATGCTAGACCAACATAAAATCTTTTGCTTTATTGATAATCTCAAAATAATAATGAAGATTCAGCTAAAAAAACCTGATCAGGGAAATGCAGGTGGTGTCAGAGACAGTTCTGGAGAGGGCAGTGCACAGGCAAGAAAGCTGTGATGGAGAAGTCAGTGCCTGAGCAGCCAGAACAAGGAACTGCTCACGTCCCACGTTCCCCCAGAACTCTGGTCTCACACAGCACAGGAGCAGAGCCCGTGCTGCCGCCAGCTGCACAAGCAGGGAAGAGACACAAGGCAAGAGCAGCCACAGAAGGGAAAGCACAGGTCAGTGGAGGAGTAAGAACCTCCACATGACAGACTAATCTCAGTCAAGTGCTCTGCAGACGTCACGGCCAAAGAGGGATTTGGAGGAGGATAATGCAGTTGTTCAGAGGCAGGCGGGGGATCTCCCACGAAGGAGGGGAGGCAGGCAGGGAGGTGATCCCACAGAGCCCCAGGCAGCGTCACCAGCCAGCACTGAGAGTCACCACCTGCAAAGTGACCAAGCAGTGCCAGGCACAGGAAAGCCAGAGAAGGTGTAATGGTAATTTTGATGTGGTGAGGCAGAGACCAACGAAGAAGCACATGTAACAACATATGCTCAACAGGCTGCAAAATGGATCATCTTCAGGCTGCAGCAAGCCCGGGAGCAGCTGGGACATCTGAAGGGGTGTTCTGGCTGTGACATTTCATGGGAACAGGACTTTCCACCATCAACTGCTCGGTGCTGTTTGGTGCGGTGCCAGCTGTATTGGAGGAAAGCCGGCCACGAGCAGACGCACCCCGGGCCAGTCTGACCTCCTGACAGCAGGTTCCCCCCCGTGCCACACTGCTGTGGGGGGCTACGGGAGCACAGCACTCCCGGCACGGGGCGAGCACAGCACCGGAAGGTCGAGGTTTAGAGGCCCGGCTGTCCAAGCACGGAAAGGGCTTTCCCGGTGCACCGCAAGGGGAAGTGGCTGCGGGCAGGGCCGAGACGCGGGGCTGGGGCAGCCTGTGGGGCCGGAGGCCGGTGCGCAGTCCCAGGGAAGGCTCGGCAGGGCCGCCAGGTCCTCGCTCGGCCTCTCCTTTCGGCCCGCCCCTCGGCGCAGGCGGTGCCCCTTCCCGAGCGCCCGTCCCTCGCTCCCGCTGCACCCTCCCACGGCTCGGCCCGCCGGCCGGAGGGACCCCGGGGCGGGCAGGCCGCCTGGGCCGGCCCCGCCCGGCAGGGCTGCGGGAGGTGATTGGTGCAGACAGGGGGTGCGGCACCCGCGCTCGGCCCGCGCCGGCTCCCGGGACCGGGGGGGCGGGGGCCGGGGCGGGGCCCTCAGCGCCGCGGCTCCGCCTCCAGCGCTCCGAGGCCGCCCCAGCGGGCGGCTCGGCAGTGCCCTCGCCCGGGAGCCGGCGTGGGGCCCGGGCCCGCCGGCCCCAACCTACCGGCTGCCGCCAGACCCGTGCCCGCCGCTGCGCCGCACCCGCCGCTCCAACATGGCCGCCCGCGGGGCGCCGGAAGCGGCCCTGCTTCCGCTTCCCGTCCCTTTCCGCGGGCCGCGGTCACGCCCACAGTCACGGAGCCCTTTCTGTCACGCCCCCGCGCTCCGCCCCTCCGCCCCCGGCCCCGCCGTGACCACGGCAACGGCGGCGAGGGCCGTCCCTGGCCGGCAGGGGGCGCCGCTGGCGGAAGCGGCGGGGGCGGAAGCGGCGCCGTCACCAGGTAACGGGGCCAGTGTCGGGGCAATGAGTGGCGGGGCCGGGCGACGGCGGCGCCTGGTTCTGCACGTGGACCTGAACAACACGGTGGTGGTGGCGGACACGGTGACGGGGCAGGCCCCACGAGCGGCGCTCAACACCTTTCTCAGCACCGTCACCTGGGGCCGCGCCGGGGCTGCCGGTGAGCGCCGGGGCCGGGGGTACGGGGACTCGTGTGGCGGTGAGGGGGCTGAGCACGTTCCTCTCTTCCAGGCGAGTGGGAGTGGGTGAGCGACCGCCCGTCCCTGCGGCCCCCGTGCCCCGGCGCCCTCAGCTACTACAGCCGCCACGGCCGGGACCCCGCCTTCACCGAGGCCGGCCCGGGCCGGCGCTTCCGTGACCTCCACGCCCGCCACCTGCGGCTGCTGGAGTGGCCGGGCCGGCCGCACGACGCCTTGTCGGTGCCAGGGGAGCCCGGCAAACGCTACCACCTGATCCTGCCCTCCTTCTTCCGCCTCCTGGACACGCTGCACCGGGATGGCAGGGCCTTCGCTGTTGTCTTCAGGACCTTCGGCACCGACCTGCCCCGCGCCCTGCAGGCCGTCCGCAGCGCTCTGGACGGGCAGCACCCGCAGTTCCCTGCCCTGCGGGACGTGGCGGTGAGTGGCGCCCTGAGGGTCCGTGGTGATGGGGAAGGGCAGCCGGATGGTCCCACGGAGCCCCCCCCACGTCAGACTGCTCTCCAGCTGCTTGGCCAGACTGCTTTTAAAAGCATGGAGTTCTCTGGATGAAGCTGTGAGCTGTGGGGGAGCATGTGTGTGCAGATCCTGTGTGGAATGGTTTCCTCTTGGGGTATCCCGTGTTGGACGGAGTGTGCCTTCTCCCGAGGAGGGGCTGCTGCAGCAGAGCAGGGCTCCCTGGCCCAGAGCCGATCACAGCTGCACTCTCCTCCCCTGGCAGCACACTGGGCAGGAGTGCTGGGAATGAGGGAATGAGCTTTAGAAGATGCTTTAGTTATTCCTTGGAGTATTTTCAGATAGCAGAGATTGAAATGGGGGCAGTGTGCAGCCAGGAGCACATTCCTTTCCATCCCTGGGGAAGTCGTTCCTTTCCATCCCTGGGGAGGGGATGATTTTTGGTTGGATGCATTCCATGCCTCCTCTTGTCATCTTCCCAACACCATCCTCCCACACTGTAGTGGTGGGGAGTCTCCACCCTGCTGCTTAGTGTCTCTGCCAGTGAAACAACCTGTCTGCTTTGGAAACTTTTCCTTTCCCATTTTCTGTGGTCCTGCAGCTCCCTGTGGACCTTACCCCTGGCCAGATACGGTGCAGCAAGAAAGAGGTGGTGCTAACGCGGGGAGCAGAGCGTCTGGCCACCCGGGATGACAAAAGAAAGCTTTACAACTTCTTCAGCTCCTTTGAGGGAATTGGAGGCTTCCAAGACCACTTTGACTGGTGAGAAAGAGGGCACTGAGAAAGTCGCTTGGGCATTATGTTCTTTCCTGTGATTCTCTTCGTTTCTGGGATAGCTCCTAGTCTTGAAGCCTGTATGTTGTTGGGGTCTCTATCACTTAGGCACTTCCCATGTTGCCTGTGGGCAGCCTGATGGGACTCTCACACCATTCCTGAGGTCCCCATCCCCTGGTGTACCTCCTGCTTTTCTCCAAAGGCCCCCTGATTTCTCACCTTGATGCAAAATGCCTCATTTCTGGGAGGGCATGGGCAGCAGGACCTGTGGACCATTCTCCATCCTGCTTCCCTGGCTCAGAGGGTGCCCTGGGCCTGCAGTACAGTCTGCCATTTCCTGGGAGCTGTCACCCTCTTCCTGCCCTGACTGTTCCTTCTCCACTTACTGTTTCAGGTGGGCCAGAAATCAGTTCTCTTCCCGGGGTGGGAAGCCCCTGTGGATAGACCCCCATGATCCTGACATTCAGCACATCTTCATTGATGACAACATCCGGCTGGATGATGGAGACACCATTGTTCACCCCCAGGTAGGTGGCTGAAGGCCCCTCTGGCACCAGCAGCCTGCACTGGGGTGTCCCTGCAGCCTGCACTGGGGTATCCCTGGCAAGGTCAGACATGTTTTGACCCCTTTTCATGAGGCTGCAGAGGGGGTCAAGGCATAGCCCTGATGTCACTGCATCCTGTGCCACCAGTGTTGGTGCAGCGATGCACAGGGAGGGTGAGATCAGCTGTCAGCAATGCACAGCGGGTGCTGGCTGCCTCTGCTCCCCTCTGAGTCAGCCCCTGGAGGCAGCAGCAATGATATCAGGGCTGCCAGCCTTGTCACCTGCCTGAGTGAAGGAAGGGGCAGTGTTTGTGGGGAGCACACTTGGGAAACAGAATGTTTACACAGACAGAGCCATGCCTGGCCATTGGACAGCTGTCAGTGCTCAAACAAGAGCTGCAGGTCCATGGGTGATCCTCAACCCCTGCCTGTTTCCATCCATATGGAGACGGTGCAGGGGGGAAACACGGCAGCCAGTGAATTGTCTGCAGTGTTTGGCAGGCAGCCTGGGAATGGAAAGGGGTGGGATGCTCATTGGATGTTCCCTTCCATACAAGCTTTCTCAGTTTACACATTTGTAGCTGGTGGCAGGAATTGTTACTGCCTGGAGAGACCTGTCAGGACCAGGCTTTGGCTGTGCCATGCCTGGTTGAGGGGAGCCTCTGCAATGGCTGCTGCATGTAGATCTGCAGCTGGAGCGTGGCTCACACAGCTACACTTGCTGCATTTCAGCATCAGGCTATCTTGTGTGATCAAGGAGTTCCTCCTTTGGCATTGGTAGCCTGCATGGCTGGTCAGTCAGGCTGCTGTGCTAATCTCATGGCAGCCATGCAGCCAGCCCTGGGGCTGCTCCCACGCTGGATCACACAGGTAGGATCCAGTTATGGCAGCAGCAGACCTCGTGGGAGTCTGGGCAGCAGCCAAGCATCTTCCCAGCAGGGCTTATCGTCACTGCTGGGACCTTGCTGTCCTGCAGCCAGGATCAGTAGGTGGAAAGCCATTCTCCCCTCCTCTTGCATCACCACCAGCTCTGAAGGGCTGTCCCCATTTCAGTGATGGTGACAGAGCGGCACTAGGAGTGAAACAGGTTGCCAGGTGGCTTTAAACAGGCCATGGTGGAGATCAGAAGGTGAAGTCCCTGTTCCATCCTGTGGTAGCTAAAGGAAGAGCTGTTGGCAGAGGTTTGCCTGGAGTCAGCTGCTCCACAGAGCCGTTTTCTTCCAGCTGCATGGTGTGGCCTGTTTCCTTAAGGGAGTACCAGGCACATATGACATGCTGGTTCAGAGTCAAAGGCAATTTCTGGGAGAGGGGGAAATCTCAAAAATTTCACCTGCTGTTGCAGTGGGGATAGGATCACCCTGCCCTCTGCTCCTGACATACAGCATGGAGGCGCCTGGCTGAGGGGAGGGCAGAGCACACCTTGGGGTGTGTGCATTGCTGCCAGGCTCTGCTCTCCCTGCAGGTATTCTCAGAGCAGGGCAGCAGCAGTCCCAGGAGCGTGCCCACCTCAGCACTGTACAACATTTGCCTGGTGCAAACCAATCTGCTGGAGGCCATTGCTGATGAGGACTATTTCCTGCACTGTGTGAGGAGGTGTGAGGAGAACTACGACCGCTACCTGGCCTGCATGGAGAAGGACACCCCGAGCCAGCAGTGGGATGGACAGTGATGGCACCTCATGGGGCTGAGTGCCTCCAGACTGGGACACCACCCGCTTCCTGCTGCATGCAGTCAGAGTCCCAGGCGGGCTCCTGCTTCAAGCTGTTACCTCTCCAATGTGCAATGTGGGCGTTCAGTCCTATCAGGACCTTCCATGAGCAAACACAAGCATCCTGGGAGCTTGTGTGATGGGATTTTTGGAGGAAATGGTTTTCCAGTCTTTGGCAGTGTTGCCCGGGGTGCCCACTTCTGCATGAGGGCTGGGGCTCACTGTCCCTCTGCAGTCACCAGGCAGGTCCCTTCCACCATCCTGTGATGCAGGCAGCCTCTCAGTGTTTGCACCTCACTTCCTGCTCCTGCAATGATGGCTGGTGCAGAGCAGGTGCCAGGATGAGTACAGTGTTAGCAGCAGCATCCCCAGGTGGCATTTGTGGTGTGGTGTTCTCGGCGGATGCCTTGTCACTTCTGTCTGTTTTTAAAGCAAACCTTTTTAGCTCATTTCTGTGTGAGTTTCCTGCTTGCCCTTGGCTCTGCCTGTGCTGGTGGGTGGGAAACGCCTTTCCCAGCGTGTTCATTTGCCTGGCTCAGCCAAGTGGGGACAAAAGTGTTGGTGGAGGGTTTGAGACCCATGTGCACCTTTCGTGATGCTGCTGAGAGACCCCAGCAAGGTCGTGCTCAGAGTAGGGCATGTTCTGTCCCTGCAGTGGTGACAGGATAGGGGTCATCTCTAGCGTGGGACGGTGGGTTCCCGACTCCTTGAGCCCGGCACTGCATGGCTCTGGCATCGGCAGCGCACAGCAAGGGAGGGCAGATCCAGGGTCTCTCCAGCCCCTCTCCCTGCGATGGTTCCTTCCCGGCCAGGTGAACGCGGCAGGGGCACAGCGGGCCGGTGGCACCGGGAGGGCCGGGCCGGGGGGAGAGGGGCACGGCAGGGGGGCCGGGGCGGACGCGGCGCCGCCCCCACCGGCAGCGGGCGGGCCCGGGGCGGGCAGAGGCGCGGAGCGGCGGGGAGAGCGGCGGAGCGGGCGGAGAGGTGAGTGCGGTCCTGGTCCCGGTCCCGGTCCTGGTGCCTGACCCTGTCCGTCTCCCAGCGGCGGTGCGGAGAGGAGCGGAGCGG